CTATCCTTTCCACTTTGTATTTTTTTGGTCCCTTCTGTTGGCGAATCGCCGGGACATGGGCGGGAGACGGCGATTACGCTCGCCCGTTGGCCTTTATGGGCATACAGCGAGTGGTGTCCGAGATAATCTGCACCCCATTTCAGTTATACGGCGACTTCTGGGTAGAGGAGAAACATGGTTTCAATAAGAAGACGATGCTACTGTTTATCAAAGACAAACTTCTCGGCCTGGGTCTCACGGCGGCAATTGGGGCGCCCATTCTGTGTGCTGTGAACTGGCTTATTAAGTGGGGAGGGGCTAACTTCCACCTCTGGGTATGACACGTCACTTCTTCATCATGTAGATGCTTTCACTGGATCTTTCAGGGTACCACCATCCCATTGTTTTTGTACTGTACTTCTATTCTCTGGAATTCTACTTCGTATTGCGTCTGCACATCCAGTGTTGTCGTTCTCTTCGACTCCTCAACTTCATTTAGTTTCGACTTGGGACATCAGGCCAAGAATTTTGGTCTTGCTTTGTGTGCTTGTGTACAGCTGTGGGGCTTTACAGTGTTGATGACATTCGGAATGATAGTCATCTATCCGAACCTGATTGCTCCCCTGTTCAACAAGTTCCAAGTGCTAAGGGACAGAGAACTCAGGAACAAAATTAACGCCTTGGTACGAATGACAGGCGGCGGAATAAATGGCAGTTGGGAACAAAGCGGTGTAACAGACGGGTGCCTTCGCCTCCACGATTGACTTTTCTTTTGCTTGTTCTGTGTTCTTGCAACCATCTTTTGCTGCTTGCAAGGTGCGCCTGCTTGCGTCTGTGATTATTTTGGGTGTTGCGGCTTACTGCTGGTGCTCCGCAGGCTGAGCAGCTGAAGTTCCCTCTGTGCGAGGTGTACGAGATGGATGGCTCGAAGCGTTCGAGCCATAGCAACGCATACTTCTACGGTTTTTGGCGGTGGAAGCGAATTGTCATCTTTGACACTTTGCTTCACCTGCCGCACGATCAGATCTTAGCTGTTTTGGGTACGCGCTGGTGTATTTTGTCCCGGGCCCGTGGCCTTATTTGTCTTGCAGCGTCGTATAGCTCGTCTTTTGCCGCAATCACATGCATGCGTAACAGGCGTACTTGGCTCCACACTGTGGATGAAATACTACGGAGATTAGGAGAAAAGGAGCTAGAACAGACAAGGAAATAATGTTCTTTTCAGCTGGCTAGGTGCACATCCTGCCTAACTGA